AGTTTGGGTATCACTTATTTAATTATTGAAATTACTTAAATTAGTTAATTGTTGATTTAAAAATTATATTATATTTTAGGCGGCGATACGGATATCGGGACAGCATAACAATCGAGTTGATTTTGGTGTACATAGTTTTGAGAGTGGAAAAATATAAATATTTTTAAAGTACTTATAAATTAAGTATATTGTTAAAGTATGTGCAATTATATGCAATTATGTGTTTGGATTATATATTTATTATGGAAATATCTTTTATTATGATAACATGTGGATTTTAAAGATTGTATACGGTACATTGTGAATTGGAATATGAGGTATGATTTTGAGATCGACCAGAACAGTACTCGTGATTATATATTTCTTCTAGTTCATTGAGGGGCCTTGGCCGTGTTCTATACTACACAGAGGGGTTTTAGACCGTGGATGAAGGAGTCTCGACCGTGTACATATAGTTCATTGAGGGGCCTTGGTCGTATTCTAGAATTGATTATGAGAGGTTTTTGAGACCAACTTTCGTTCACGGAGGGGCCAAAGGCCCGTGGCGAAAGTTCTTAGTTTGAGGGTATGATTACATATTTCAGTCAGAGCGTATAGTTTTGGTGAATTTTTCAGCACGTTTGATGTGATGAAAGTATAGTATGGTTATTAGCTGATGTTTATATTATGATTTGGAGATGATATTTTATGACCTTATGTGAATATTTCACTTTTGGTTATAATTACATGATGTTATCTTGTGAATTATTAAATGATATGAACTCCATTTTCGATAGAAATGTAAAATTGAAAAAGAATAATTATTTTCGAACTGCTCTACTCACTGAGTTATCAACTCATATATTTTCCCACAATTTTCCTACAGGTGAAAATTGATCCTTCTTAGCTGGAAGAGCCTAATAATTTCGGAATAAGAGCCACATGACATGTTGTGTGTTATAACTCATTTTGATGAAACACAAAGTAAATAATTTGAGCCCATCCCATTATGTTTGACATAAATATTTGATCTTATTTCATTTTTTTAAATTACTCATAGTCAGCTTTGGTGATAGATTTAACGTCTAGTCAGCATTTATCATTGACGCACGTCATGTTTCGAGTCCATTAGGGTAATTCCGGACGGATCGTGTCAGAATGGTATCAGAGCATGGTTTTGAAAATTTTTATGGTTCATGCATGTTCAGTGGATATGATCACATGTTGTGGTGGCAGAAATCACAGGGTCTCTAACTCAAATGTATGGAACCAAAAATGATAGAAAGATATTTTTAACAGATCCAGAAATGACTTGTATGTAAGTATGATAGTTACAAATATCTGATGGTTGGAAATGTTATTAGTTGTTGGGTTTGAACTATGTGTATATGTAATCTATTAAGATTTGAACAGATTTTGGTGATTTTGCGGGGCATTCGAAGTTATAGATTTTACAACTAGCATGAAATTTTAATTATTTTGAAGCCAAATGGTCATTAGTGTTATTCGAATATTGTGGTGATTTGTGGCCACTCATATGGGATGATAATAGTAATCATAATGATGTATATTTATGTTATATGATAAGAAATTGTGGAAGACAAAATGATGATTTGTTAATTGATAGATGACAATGTATTAGTGTGTATCTTAGGCATTTATGAGTTTTTTGATTATAAGGGATGTGAGAAAAATATGGATGAACTTTATTATGATTATTGATTATGGGATTATTTGTTGCTTAAGAAATATGATTAAATGGATATGTGTATTTATGTATGTTTATGTGAATCGAGAAATAAAAAGGAGTAGAGAATTGTAGAGTTGGAATTTATTTAGATTAGAAAATTAACATATGAAATCATGGTGGCATATTGACGTGTGAAAGGTTCACATGATAAATATGAAGGTTATTATTTTGTGATCTTAAGGAAAATTGATCTAATTAAAAGTTAGAAAGCATATGGTATAGCCATAAGTATGTGATGAGGTTATATGATTACAACATGATATGGTGAGTATGTAAATGAACGTAATGGTTGTCCTATAGCAAAATAATGTGATGATTGATTTGGTTATTAAGTTAATTAATTTTGTTAAGGCATTTGTTGGATTTTTGGGTTATATTCCATACAATTTGGAAGCGTTGAGTTAACTTTTGAAGTTAAGGTGAAATTATTGAAATTTTGGCGATGTAATTTTTAGATTATTCTCAATTTTATTTTAGGATGTCATGAATAAAGTATTCCACTTTTATCGAGATGGATGTATTTGCTATGGAATGAATGGATGATATGTTGGATAGTTTAAAGTCTAAGATGATCACCAAGTGTAAACTTTATACATCGTGGACTGATATCTCTAGGTTACATTATCTTCAATAAAGGTCTTTATGTGACAAAAAAAAAGGCTTATGCATTAGTAATAGGTCAACGACCTATTTATGGAATAAGGGTATAGATTTTCATGGATTAAATGTTATTATTGTCTCTTTATAGAAAGAAAGAACAAAATTTGTATGTGTATCAAAATGTCAAAAGTTTTGCTATCAGGAAATTTTGAGGAAATACTTGCTCTTATATCTAAAGATGATAAGTGATTGATTTACGATAATGATTTATGTTATGGTTTAGAAAATGTTCTCTAAGTGGAATGATAAGATATGGATTATGTTGTAGATTGATAAAAATATATGATTAAATCATGATAAATGGTTGGTTATATTGGGATTGACATTTAGGAATTGTGGCGTTATCACATGGTGGGAAGATCAATACTTAATGACCACATGAGGTTACGGTATATTTGTATTCAAAAAAGAGCTGAACTTGAAGCTATGGTAATATTATTGTTAGGTGATAAAATGAAACGTCAAGATTATCATATATTGATCACTATGATGATTTTTAAGGTATCGGTTCAACATGTATTCCATATGTTCGAGGCTTATTAAATAGACATCAGATTTAACTTATGCTATAAGATTATCAGTAGAATTGAAAGAAAATCTTATATATGAGGAAGAATCGACTCAGATATTTGACCGAAAGGAACATGTCTTACGTAGTAAGATTATTACATTGGTTAAAGTATTAAGGATGAATCATGCTATAGAAGAAGTGACATGGGCAAGTGAAAAGTAGATGCGTTCTTAGTATCCACGATTATTCCGTACATAGTAAATTGAATTTCGAGGAAGAAATTCTTTTAAGGGGGTGAGTTTTATATTACATTAAGTTTTTTTTTTTTTAAAAAAAGAAAGGTCAAATAAAAAAAAATAGTATAATGATGCGGTGGAATTGGATTCCACCCAAAACCAAATTAATAACATAGAACATACACAACACAAAAAAAAGGGTATAGAGAAGGAGAAGAAAGAAAAAGAGAAAGGAAAAAGAAGGAAAAAGAGGGAAAAGAAAAAGAAAAAGAAGGAAAAAAAGGGAAAAATTTGCCAATGTGTTAGGAATTAAGTGCTCTATCCTATTAGGCTTGAATTTCTCAATTTTGAAAGGTAAGTAAAAAGTTACTTATTGAAAGGTTACGTTTGATTTTATAGTTGTTAGGTTGTTAGATTAAATTTAATTTTATTGAAGGAGTTAAGTATAATAAACTATGAAATTGATTAAAATGAACGAAAAATTAGTTTTAGTAATTAAAGAGACTTTAGAAATCGCCTAAACGTGAAATAATTAAGTTTGGATATCACCTATTTAATTATTGAAATTACTTAAATTAGTTAATTGTTGATTTAAAAATTATATTATATTTCAGGCGGCGATACGGATATCGGGATAGCGTATCAATCGATTTGATTTTGACGTACATAGTTCTGTGAGTGGAAAAATATAAATATTTTTAAAGTACTTATAAATTAAGTATATTGTTAAAGTATGTACAATTATATGCAATTATGTGTTTGAATTATATTGTTATTATGGAAATATCTTTTATTATTATATTTGTGAATTTTAAAGATTGTATACGGTACATTGTGAATTGGAATATGAGGTATGATTTTTGAGATCGACTAGAAAAGTACCCGTGATTGTATATTTCACTGAGGGGCCTTGGCCGTGTTCTATACTATACTGAGGGATTTTGGACTGGGGATAAAGGGGTCTCAACCATGTACATAGTTCACTGAGGGGCCTTGGCCGTGTTCTAGAATTGATTATGGGAGGTCTTTGAGACCAACTTTCGTTCATGGAGGGGCCAAAGGCCCGTGGTGAAAGTTTTTAGCCTGAGGGGTGGATTACAAATTTCAGTCAGAGGGTACATTTTTGTTGGATTTTTTAACACGTTTGATGAGATGAAATTATAGTATGGTTATCAGCTGATGTTCATATTATGATTTTGAGATGATATTTTACGACATTATGTAAATATTTCATTTTTAGTTATAATTACATGATGTTATCTTGTGAATTATTAAATGATACGAACTCCATTTTCGATAGAAATGTAAAAATGAAAAAGTATAATTATTTTCGAAGTGCTCTACTCAATGAGTTATCAACTCATATATTTTTCCACGATTTTTTCTACAGGTGGAAATTGATCATTCTTAGCTGGAAGAGTCTAATGATTTCAGAATAAGAGCCACACGACTTGTTGAGATATCCCAAATGACACGATTCCTTCTAGATCGTTTAATTATCGATCTCTAATAGCTATTTCTTGATATTTTGTGCTTTTGCAACAAGTAAAAGGCAACATTTATCAATTATTAAAAGGGTCTATTGCAACACTGTAATAAGTGATGTTGCCATTGTTGTTAATAATTGAGATTTGGCAACATTTTTGAAGTGAATGTTGCTAATGTTACCTTTTGCAATGTCTATTTAGTGTTGCGAAACTTTTTATATTTGCAACGTTTATCAACGTTGCGAAAAACCCTTTTCGCACCATTTTTTAAACCTTTAATCACAAATCTTTAATGAAAATGTCTCAAATGAAAGAAAATAAAACCTTTAGAAATTGCCAAATGTCAAATTTAAATAAATAAATAAATATATCAGCAGTCTCCGTTTAAGCTTTTACATGAGATCGATAGTTCAGCATACATTTACTTACGGAAATAACAGCTTTGATTTTGTCAATTGGAAACTGGAGTTCACCACTCTCGTTTATTCGTAGGAAGACATCAACTAAATCTTCATTGCCAAACTCTCCATTTCCCTTTCTTTTTGAGTCTCCAGTTTGATCTAGCTCTCCATTTCCATTACTCATTTTTGCCAAATTTTCTTTGTGTTCACCAATGATACCATCAAGAATCTCATCAAGCTTGCGACGCATTGCCAACAACTTTAGCTTATTCCAACTAAGGGTTTTAAGCATCTTCGATGAAGGAAACAGATCGGCAAGATCAAAGCCTCCCGACAAGGCTAAAGCTTTCCTCATTATTTTTATCAGCGTTTCTTTATCCTTGAATACCTTACTAAACGCCGCTCTGCAAGTCGTGGCACTCATTGTCGAGATAATCTTTTCTGTGAGATTTATTGGTTTTCCAGCAGAAGATCTAATGGATTTGACGAGATTAAGAACCTCATCATTCCTAATGGGTCCAAACGATTTCACCTGCTTGGCACTTAAGAGTTCTAAAATGCATATTCTTCGCATTTGTCTCCAGTAATCATCGTACGGACTAAATGAAATGGCAGCATGGTTATAGGAAATAATTTCAAGAGCTAGAGTTCCTGGCCTAGCTGCAAAAGTAGGATCTTGAGTTTTCAATAACTCTTTCGCGATTTTGGGTGACGATACGACAATTGTTGAAGTTTCACCGAGCTTCAGATGCATTAATGGTCCATATATTTTGGCTAAATCTCTGAACGAACGATGTGGAAGTGAACTTACGAGGTGCATGTTCCAATAATAGGCAATTTCTTGGGACCTGGTGGCAGTTTTTCTAGTTTTTTACCATCTTTGGATTTCTTCCATTTGGTGAGAAACAGGAAGACAAAGCTTAGAAAGAGAGTAAAAGTTGTAAAGCTAAAGGGAAAGTAGAGATCCATTAGGATAAAAAAAGAGAAGGGTTTCAAGGCGCAATGCTTGGAAACACATAAATACACGAATATATATAACCATTAGAAGCAGAGATATATCCATCGAGTTTTATTTTATTTTATTTTATTTTGAAACGGCATATATATTGATTTTGTTAGTGAACCGATGGCAATGTCAAATGACACAATTCCTTCTAGATTGTTTAATTATCGACCTCTAAAAGCTATTTCTTGATTTTTTGTGCTATGCTTCAAAAAATCAATCTAAAAATATGGACCACTCGATATGCATGAGAAAAAATATCATGTAAAGTCCATTACATCACAATAAATTAGGTAAGGCTTGAATATGTGTGCATTTAGATAGGAAGACTCTTTCTTCGGTGGACCAAGCTATGTGTATAGGAAACCAATTCACAGAATTCATACGGAACTCCCATAGTGGAGGTGTTGGGTGACTTTTTGGGCATTTCTTTATCATCACATGGGGTCGGGTCCATTCATATTTTCAGTTGATTTTAATTCATAAAATTCTCAAGTTACAGTATTGGAGTCATAAACAAGCTGCTTATTTTAAACACCTGAAATTTAACTTTTGAAAAAATACATAAAAACTCTACTCCCTTATTCGGGCTTCTATACATACAAAGGTAATACTTGACGTTTTGTGCTATAATTGGAAAAATCAATCCCAAATGAATATGGACCACTCAATATACATGAGAAAAATATCTTTAAGAACCTAGAACATAAAGTCTAATTACGGAACCGACTATTTTTAGTATACAGGACATCACAATCAATTGGGTCGGTCTTGAATGTGTGTCGTTATATAGATAGGAAGACACTTTTGTCTTGAAATTTTAAGAAGCATGTGGTATACAATATAAACTTAAGTAGACATGATTAAAGCATGTAAAAATTAAGGTACGTTTGGTTCACAATATACACAATATAAAATTAAGTAGATATGATTCAAGCAAATAAAATTAAGATGGATAGGATTAACTAGACTAAAGTGTATTTTAACTATTGACCTCAGTTTTTGATTGGATAGCATGCCAACAAGTTTCGGCTCAACTTGTTCAAGTGTAAGGGATTCAGGACACTCAGACAAATCGTTGACGCAGCCTGTCTTCTCCGAAGGATGGAGATGCGACCATGAGCACTCCAACAATCAAGTCAATCAACTATAGATGTGTATTCTAGGTGTAGGATAAACAAATGACGTGAGGCACAATGATGTTTATGATATTGAGCTCAAAAGAGGATACCAAGATAAGTTATTGTTGAGAGTGTAAAATAACAATATTGTTGGATTTTATAACCCAAATTAAGTTGGATTTTTTTTTTTGGGAAAATGCCGTTTTCTTTATTCTACACATTTTTATTGGAAAAATATTATTTGCTTTATTTCCCGCATTTTTATTAATATTCCAGGTGATTTTTAATCTTATTTTAATCTTTGTTAATTTTTTAGAGTTGACATGCACCCCTATAAATACTAGAATCCTCTAACAAGTTTTGTATTACTGAAATATAGATAATTGTGTAGGCACAATCATTGTATTTGTTTTCTCCACATTAGTACATTGAATAAAATCTCCATTCTTCTTCCTATTAATTCTTTACAGTTTATCTTGTTATTTGTTTACGATCATATACTTTATATCACGTTTCATATTTCACCTTGATCAATTTTATTTCCCAACAATTGGTACTTTAGTTGGGATTTGTTCGAGATTTTTATTATCGATGGTAACTATAAAGTATGAAATTTCGCTCTTTGATTGCAATACAAGATTCTTGTTGTGGCAAGTGAAGATGTAAGTTGTACTCACACGGATGGATTTGGATAATGCGTTCTTGGAATTTGACAAAATGCCCTCAACTTGATCGATGGAGGAGAAGCAACGTATCGAAATGTACTTTCACAAACAGGATATTTTAAAGGAGAAAACAGCAATTACATTGTAGTTGAAGTTTGAGTAATTGTGCATGACTAAAAGTCTGATAAACAAATTGTATCTGAAGCAGAGGTTGTTATCTCATCGCATGACACAAGACGGATCTTTGGAAAATTATTTGGCTGTGTTCTAGGAAATCGTCGCTAATTTGGAGATTTTAGAGGTACAGTACGATGAAGAAGATTTGACCTTAATCCTTTTATATTTTTGCCCTTCTCATTTCCTTTGTTTAGAGACACGATCTTGTATAGTCATGATAATTTCACCATTGAAAGTGCGTATAATGCCTTATTTTCAAAAGAAAAGATGAAGCATCTAGTTGGATCTAAAGCCAAAGATGGAGAATGCCTTGTTGTTTATAGTGATTAGAGAAGGGATAAGTCGAGATCAAATTTTAGTTATCAGGTTTGTTATTATTATAAGAAGAAATGACACATTAATAGAGGTTGCTACAAATGGCCGAAGAAAGATAATTTGACTGCAAATTATTGGAAGCAATTGAATACTTCAGACAAGACCAACATAGCCGAGAATTATTTCAGTGATGGAAATGTTTTGATGATTTTTGATATGAAATCCAAACTTGACGAGGAGTGGATTTTAGATATAACTAGTGCATTCCATACGTGTCCCAATCGAAATTTGTTTGAAACATATAAAACGGTGATGCAAGGTATCGTTGTCATGGGTAACAACGGACCTTATCATTTAGTTGGTATTGGTAGAGCGGAATTGAAGTTGGGAGATGGAACATGTAAAATGCTTAATCACATTCAACATATTCTAGACTGAAAGAAAAATCTCATTCTGTTGAGTACTCTATATGCAAAAGGGTACATGTTTTCTGAAGGTGGTGGAGTCTTGAGGGTTCAGAATGGTGTTTGTGTTGTATTGGATGGACAGAAGATGTCCCAGTTATACATTTTGCAATGTCAGGCAGAATTGTGAAGAAAGGTCAGTACAGATTTAGCATCGTAGTGGAGATTCAGTTGGATACAATACCTTTAAGGTTTCATTTGATGTCCATATTGGAAAATAATACTCAGTCAAGTTTGGAGGATTTGGATAATTTCGCTTTGCTACCATTACATTCAGTTCCATTGTATTCAACTGCTAGAGATAGATTCATTAGAGATAGGTACGTGAATGCTGCTCCGGTTGCACATGCTTTTAGAGTTTTTGAAGGTGTTGAGACTAGTCAAGTGTCTTCTATGAAAGCATTGGGAGTTGATTTTAATATAGAATGTGCTTCGATACTATTTGGTAATTTTTAATTCTTTGTGAATTTTGGAGAACTCGATGTTTGGGGTCATGCATCCGTGTTGGATACTGTGGAAGAGAAAGAATATTTTTGTGTTAGATAAAGTTTGATTCTTGGTGAAGAGTTCAAATTTTTCATTGCAGTCGGATTTATTTTTTCAGGTGGAGAAATTTTGGTGTTTGGTTCGTTGAATCGAAATTTGTATAAATGTGGAAATTGTTGGATTTTCGACTAAAATTAGATTGGATTATTTAGGAAAATATTGTTTCCTTTATTCCACATGCTTTTATTGGAAAAATATTATTTATTTTGTTCCCCTCATTTTTATTGAAAAAATATATTTCCTTTATTCCATGTGACTTTTGATTTTGTTTTCATCTTTGTGGTATTTCTAGGGTTTGGGATTACCATTTAAATACTATATTTTTTTTCACAAGTTTTGTATTATTGAAATATATAATAATTGTGTTGGCACATTCATTATATTTGTTTTCTCCATATTAGTCGATTGAATAAAACAGAGATGGATTTGGGGGGGGGGGGGGGGGGGGGGGGGATGGGCAGGGCTGTAGTCCCCCCAGCTCAGGTCCAAAGGTATTTTTCATTTTCTTTAAATCAGTTTTTTATGTGTATATTTTTTCCCCGCGTAGCAGCCCGGTTTGAAATTTTGTAATTCAGTCTTGGATCCAATTCTGGATCCTTCCCTGGAATAAAATATTCGGTTCCCTTGTCAATAAATTCTTTGCCTTTTATCTTGTTATTTATTTGCGATCATATACTTCATATAGTATTATATATATGGGAAGTGCTACATGTACATCATTGTCTATATAATAGTGTTCATAATTACATGTGGCGTTAGATCCAATCTTTAATTCAAATCTCACACTTGAACATAAAAAATCGGATGATTGTCACATCACATTATGGACACCATTATGTGCAATAATTATATACAAATAGAATTTTCCTATATATATTACCTTGATCCATTTGATTTTTCCAATAGCATGTAAAAGACACTAGGTTTGAGATTTACATTCGAGGAGAAGAGATGGTGATTGTTGGATGAATGACACACGGCCTCATTCGGTGGCAACACATAACTATCATAGGAGTCACATCTGCAATTCTAGGTAAGGATGAAACTTAAGGATTTTGAAAGTAACCATTCATGATCTAGGTCTGACATCTGAAAAGTAGATTGACAATGTGGCTGGGAGGCATCTCTGCTATAAAGACATTAAATCAATCGGTTGTACGGAAGATCTCGTACAAACAATTTCTTGGATGAGGGAAAACTATGTAAGATGCCTTGTGAGTCAAAGGTTTAGTGTTTCATGAATGAATCGTAGTAGATCGTGGTACATCATCTCAATTATAGCGGTTTGGGCTCTAGATGCCACTTCAATTGAGGTAAATGCATTACTTCTGCCTCGTTTTATTTTGATAACCCCGATTAGATCATGTAAGCAAGTGATGTGGAGTACGGGACTTACATAATTTCTAGCTGTTTTCCCACTTGGCTGTCATGTGGCCACTAATAGGAGCCTCATAGGATCAAGTGTAACAATAACGATAATGTGTTTGATGCATCTCTTTATCCTCCCATGGGTTTGAGACAAAATGCTGTAGTAAGATTGTTATAATTAAGGATTGGTGGACAAGATTATGAGCTGTTAAATGAACCAATAAATAATGCTATGTTTTGTTTTATATTATATCTTACTACTTTGCATCGGTTTAATTTTCTTAAAAATCATAATTTTAGTACATTTCGATTAAAACTGATAAAAT